GGGTCTCCAGGTACGAAAAAGTGACTAGGGGACGAAATTTGGGCCCCCTACCTTATTATTAGTATTACTCGTCATCTTTTTTTTGTATTTTTTTACGATGAAATGTTAACGCAAAAGTATGAACGAATTTAGATCTTATTTTGGAAAAAAAAACATTGAGTTGAAACTAGTGTGCAGTAGTAGCCTAGAAGACACAAAAGTTCGATGTCAGGTTCGTTAATCTAAAATTCCCGCGAACATCCTCAAACGATCTCGCTAATTTTTTGCCTCCTTTGGTTATAATTGATTTTATTAACGAGCCGCGAAGTCATCGGACTTGCGGAACTCGGATGAGAGTCCTTTCGTCAGGCAGCCGTTCGTTAACAGTGCACGAACGAGCGACCGAACGCGGATGGAAAGGAGGCTCAGCCTCTGTCCGATAACGATCGAAGTTCCCTCTTCTTTCGTATCCTCGTTTTAAATCCGCTATTGTACCAAGTAATTCAAGGAAAGAAGAATGGAGACGAATTATTGGTACCGTCGACTGAATTCATTTGTAAGGAAGAATTGTATAGAGTAGGCTACCGTGAGATCATATTATAACGCAATGGGACGGTTCTATATTCGCTACGGGATTTGCGCTCGATTGATAGCCGGCCGACTGGCCGGCCGTAAAAATCATTCTCGTAGAAGCGGCGTATTCAGTTCCTCGCTACGTCGATTACAAAGCGCTCGAGTGTTGTGTTTTATTGAAAATGTTTAGAAAGAACTCTTTTAGTGTCTTGATATTTTTTTCTCTGATTTATTCACCGTATTACCGTACGTATTACCGCGTTTCACTCTGCTGAATAAAAATTTAGGAATAAATTTAATATAAAAGCATTTCACTTGATATCGTGAAATTTTCCTCGGTGGTTATATACCAGTGGAAATGGCTCTCGTTTTCATTATTTCGACGACATTACCTCAATTCTGCTACCGCGAGCATACGCTTCTAATTATAGTACAAACGTGCGTCCCACTTTTGCGAGCGCATTACCCGACAAGAAGGGGATAACATTTTCATTAAATAGATCACATTTCGGCACGAAATTTTCCGCATATGTGGGAAAACGCGATATTGTCTATCGCGGGAACAACGGTTTGTCACAGCAAGGAGAGGACATGGAAAATCTAGTTGCAAATAATTAGTATCACTCGGGACATTGTCGTGGCACTCCCGAAAGACCCTCGAGAATGTTTCGGTCGAGCTATAATAAAGAGCCAGGATGCTGCTAACATGGGACTGATTCTCACAATTCTTTTTCGCGTTAACAACACTCGGAAATTTTTCGGCGTGTAACGGCAATGTTGGGATTCCTCGTTCAACCGTACCTTCATCTTTTAACTCGTAATCCCACCGACACGATTCGGTCCGGCCGGAAAATTAGGAAGGTGGTTAATTAAATATTTCCGCGCGGAGACGAAAGCTATAAACAGCAGCGATGTAACGAGGTAATTACGGTTGCTGGTCCATCGCGGTTATCAGGTTTACGGCAACGGTATTTCCGAGATCTCCTGTCGCGGAATCCTCCTTCCAATGCGGGAAACTCGTCGCCGTGGCTTAATTATACGATGACGCCACATTAAGCTGTTTCAATTACAGGCCGAATATATTTGACGGCGCCAGCGGAATTAAGAACCATGTTTCTGGTTCTTGGAGATAATAAACAGTAGAGATAATTGCAACGCCATTCTTGTAATTTTTAATCGCGCTTTTCCCTCTATATTTTATATTCTTTCTCTCTGTTTTATAATTTCTCTATTTTATACTCTATTATTATGTTTTGCTTGGAATAATTAACGTTAAACCCTCAACCACGCCAGTCAAATAAGAAATAAAGATCTCATATAATATGGATGTAATAGAACTTTAAAATGAAAGAGAAAATTATTTTCCCTTCGGCAATCTGTTATGAGAATTATTCGAATATTATGACTCACATATCGAGAGTGCATAAAATATGCATTAGGCACTTGAGAGTTTAAGCTCCACGGAAACCGACGCGAATTTGTAATGTAGAACGGGGAATGGATGCGAAACCGACTTGCCTCGCAGTCCTCGTACGGCACGTTACCACTGTTGCATCCTGCATCCCGCATCCCGCATCCCGTATTCTGCGTCCATTTGCGGGGATTTTTAAACGTTAACCCGTTTAATCGAATCGAGATAATCGCGCAGTTTAAGTACAATCGGCCGAATTTGCTTATCGCATCTGGGGTCGTTTATTTGCATGAGATGCAAGCTCGGCAGCTCTCTCGCTTGGAAATTCCGCGTACGATTTCCCCCCGGTTTTATCAACCAACGACACGTGGCCCGCGGGCCACACGAGGCATTTCTTTCTCGAGCCGGAGCAAGAAGGACGGACTATTATTCGGCGTACAATACGTCCGACGAGGCTTTCACTCGTTATCGGTAACGAGCTACCTTCGGCTCGCCGACATCGAGGAAATCGCTAGTGCGCCTCCTCTTCCTCGATGTCCTTTATCAGAGCTACTTTCGAGAGTTTCTCGAAGTTTGCTCGTGGAATTGGCGACCAAAGAGCGAAATCAGAGTTCGGGTTTTCACAACGTTTTGCAGCTTGAAAAGTTATTACTGGTTATTACTTAGGGCTTATTTAGGTTGACTTTTCGACACAATATTGCTATAATATAGTTTCCACATTTTTTTTCAGATATTCTTTTCCATATTCTTGTCTTTATGTAAATACATTTATGAAATGCGAATGCTAAAATATTTAAATTGAAAGCAACGACATAACGCCACAATATGATGATACGCAAATTTGATACCGCGTTGGCTATGAAATTATTCTTACACAAAGCAGCAAAAGATGTCGGACATTAGATACATCGATACAGATACTCTTTACCGCGAGCAGACGCGAGTGTATGTACTTAGGTACACAGATACGCGCGCGTGCGAACACGGAAGAAAATGGAAGAGATACACGAGTTTGTAGCAAGCAGGAGCACCGGAAATTCGTATCTATCCTCCGGGGTAACCCGAGAAACCCGAGGACCAACATCCATGGTCCACCTTCTCTGTCTCTCCCTCCCTCCCTCTTTCCCTTTCCCTTCCTCCCTTTCTCTCTCTCTCTCTCTCTCAAATTCTATCTTCCTTGCGTCCCCTGCCGGTGCACCTTCCGCCCCATTCTCTCGAGTTTCTTTTTTATTCGCTCCTCTCCATTAACGTCTTTTCTTTTCCGCGCTCGCAAAACTTTCTCATTATCTCAGCGAAAATGCGCGACTCTCTTTCTCAGGCTGAGTATACGATTCAATTGGTTTTTTTTTTGTTTCGAATAAGGAAGCGATCCTGGGTATTGACCCTGATAGGCGAATCTTATTTACGTAGTATTGTTCAGTTATTTTTAATTTTCATTGCATTTTGAATCTAATCTTATTTTTTATTTATTACGCATTTCTCTTTTTAGCTTGTTGGTCTCTAGGATATTAATTTCTTTATAGTTTCAAACATTCAGTATCCGACGATCAATCATTGAAAGACGAAGAAATTGCACATGGCATAACATTTTAACATATCACTTATATAATCCGTATTAGAAGGATTGAATCTTTTTGTATAATTGTCTTTAATAATCTTTAATGAATCTTTATCTAATTATAAAGAGCAGATTATGATAATAGTTTTAAAAAATTAGATATACGAAGTGTAATGTACGATGTAAGATGATATCGAGATAGGAGTATTATATTAATATTTTAATGACAATTATTAATTTCCACTTATAGAATGATTTAAATAAATTATTACAAAATAATTTATTATTTATTTTTACAAAACAAACTGGATTATTTTGGCGTTAATAACATATTTTATAACTTTTAACTTTTTTAATATCATCTCGTAAACGTGTAATGATCATTATGTCAGATATCTAAACTCATTTTATTTTCGCTGAATATGACTGGATATGACGTGGCGTTCTACTAATAAGATGGACTAATAGAATGTTTGGTTAATAGAATTGTCGGTAGTGAAAGCACGAACGGATGCAACGCATCGTAGCAAATCGGACACGACGGACGTTCCTTTGAAGTTTAATTCCCGGTGTAATTAGAGTCACGCCCGGCCATACAAAGTCGACCATGCGCATCGTTACGACGACATTGTTCTCGCCGGCTGTAAATTCGTGTCTCGCAGTACTAGGGCTAACGATTATACGATGGGATTCAAGTTATTCGTTGAATTTTCGACGCAGCGTTTTTCGCTGCCGCTCGTCAACGTGTGACAAAGGGGAGCGAGATGTGCGAGAACAGGCGAGACGGCATTCTACTACCGGTTTTCGCGAATTGCATCGCGAAAGTTTTCACGAGGACTTTTGTTTCATTTGGAAACAGAATTCGGTTATTTCGTTTTTGAACCCGACGTCAAGGATTTTTGTCGAGCACAACAAAACGCTTTGATACCTTGAATTCGTACACGTCATTAACGAACATGCATTGTTTCAAGACTGATATTAATAATGCTAATTAAAACATCTTTCTGACATCCTGAGCTGCGGCCCGCAGATTTTCGTGCGAGTTCTCTTCTCTATTTTCCTCGCGAACGCAAATTATACTAGCTAGTTTGGCGCATATATTTTCCGCTTGTAACTGCTTTATGAAATATTGCGAAGCGGAAATGGCTGCGGGCAAAAAATATACACAATTCACAAGTCTACTGTTCACAAGTTCGCAATTACAGATAAATTAAAACGATAATACAAATTATGAAAAAAATTTACTAGATGCTCACTGCAACTCAATTTTTTTGTAACAAATGATGTCAATTATCTCGTTTAAGTTATCATATATTTTCTAAATGAAATTAATTTTAAAAACCCCGAAACATTTAAATGAAATTATATAATATTTATACTTTAATTGCTTCGTTGTTGTTTTTTTTCTAATACAATAACTTGCATTAGATATCTTTGATTTATTGAGAGATATCTTAGTTTATACGAAACTTAACTTACCCATCTATCAGTGGCACGTCCCTTAGAATTCTTCGAGCTGCCGCGAGGCGATCTCCTGCGTGGGCCGCGAGCAAGATCCTCGTCAGTAGCTGACCAAGGACCATCACGCCCACCACCATCCTCATCCTCCTCCTCGCTGGACTCGCAACGCGTCTTTACTAATGTCCTCATGCCATCACCATTAACCCACCGGCTCACCCGCAGCACTTCCTTCAACCGGGTTGCAGGATGGCCAGGATGTAATAGGATCGTGGATCCTTCGAGTTGCGCGTCTAGTTAATTTTCCCGAAACGATTATTCAGCGTTACCATATTCTTAATCGATGATAATTTTAAAGCGCATCCTTCGTCAAGGGTAGAGATTTATCTTAATTTCTCGAAACTTTTCTCTCAAACTCGGAGACTATTCTGTAAGATCTTAATAGCGAGTTCTCCGGGATTCGGGAGAGATCCGGCAATGTTTTTCATTGATAAGATCGGCCGGAACCACGCACTCGATTTTATCACCCTCCCCACACGTGGAGACACTTCTTTTCTCTTGCTAGGATAACAGAGTTTAAGGATCAGTGCTTGCCTTCCTCTTCAACCGGCGCTTCTTATCTTCGGCGCATTCGTCTTCACACATCCTCGAGCCCACCCTAATTTCTCACATTCAGCGGGCTCGAAGGTCCACTTTTTCCGCTGTCGCGATAGCTACTTCGGGGCCCTCCCTGCCTTCGTTCTATCCAACCTTTCAGATTAACCCTCCGATCTCATCGCCATATACTCCGTCCGATGCAGCCGCTCCGCGCTTCTTATTCTTCTCGTCTTTTTTGTTCCCCGAGTGGAATGCTCTCTTTGTCCAACTGCGTGCCACTCGTCCCACCATTTAATATCTCCGCGCTGCAAAGCCTAGTCTTTAATGCGGTCGTCGGTCCTTGAGCACAGCACCGCGTTTTAACCGATTCATCCAACTCCTGCCGTAGTTCGAAATTCTTTCGTCCACTTTCGAAATTAATCTTCCGTCCCGTTGAAACGCACCGTTTGTCAATGCTGCCGTTCGTTCGACTGTTTCCAGGTTGATTCTTCGCCGGCATTCACCTGGTCGATCGAGAAATCAATTACTCTCGACGAGCTCCTCTTCGATCAAACTATTCTTAATCTCTCGTAAAATGTACTTCTTATGCTTTTCTCACTTCGACCTCACCCGCTGCAAATTCTTCGAAGGCAAAGATGACTTTTCGAAGCATCGAGTTGCCTCGGGGATTTGCTTCGATAGTTTGATCAGGGAGACAGGCTTTCAGAGGTTTCCCCCGTTCCTTGCGTCGTCTTTCTATCCGCCCTTAAGGATTGAAGGCCCCCTTACCGAGTAGCGCCCTTATCGACTTCTTCGCCGGCGCTCGAGAGATGTAAAGCCGATCGGTAATCGAAGACACGTCGCCCACCTTCCGCGATCCTCGCCAATGTAAAGTGCCGCTGGTTGAAACCACTTAAGCGAGGTTATCGATGTCGATGGTCTTTAATTTACGTCGGCACCAACCTTGGGCTCGTGCTCGACGCGCTTTGATCGAGCTATCCCGCAACGGGTGTATTTAAGGAAATTGAATTCCAGTTAGCCGAAGTTCTGTTAATTAAGGCGGCATTTCGAATGTCGAATCTTCTCACGTCTTTCACCGTCTTGTCTAAATCGCGCTATACTCACAACTCGTGCCACCTTATACAGCTGAGAGTTTCACAGGATTGGTACCTTGCCGGGGGTGTTGTACTAAGGATCCCACAGGCGGTCCGCTCGTTACGTCCTAAAGATTAATTAGAGCGATGAGAAGAAGATGTCGTGTTACCCGAGCGCGAAAACCTTGCCTCGTTTCCTTCTTTATTCCCGCGGTCGGAGATCAGTGTTCCGGCATGTTTTCTAATACGCGATCCATCTTCCGGTATCCTCGCGACGCACGGTTTTCTCTTTTTCTCTTTCGAGAAGCAGTCCGTTTTTCCTCTCCGTTGTTACAAAATCACTTGCATAAGCGGTGTTTCATAACCGCGCGGCGAATGTCACTGTCACACAACGCGACCCGTAAATCCGTTGCGATTAATTCGGCACTCGATTAAGTTCCACGATTAATTACGCACTTGAAATGGGGCGAATGCATCTCATGGTGGGGCCAACGGCTTCGTTGTCAGTCGGAAATGGATCGCCGTGCTATTCGGTCCGGATATTTTCTAACTTCCGCTGACCTGTAAGAGGTAGATTTTTCTAACTCGTAGCCCGGCTTGTGAAGAATTATCGCGTGGAGGAATCTTCAACAAAAATTATTCTAGATCAACGAATTGGCAGTTCACGCGAATTGATAGTTGAATTTAAATTATCGCAAAGTTTTAAAATACGCGTAAATATCTTATGTTATTTTCGGAAATTTTCAACTTGATCAAATTGCATTTTAAATTTTGTTTGCCAGTGCGTTGCGCAATAGCCCGAATAAATCGATAGTGGGTCAAAAGGACGTAATTAAAAATTAATATTCCTATTAACAATTGGGTTTTGAATTGCGACTATGCTGCTTTGTACCGGGAGAAATTAATGCTACTCGGAGTTCCCGAGCGAAGCGAGTAGAATTTTCGGTCTCCCTGTAGCAATAATATGATTATCTCCTCCATTAATGTCTTACTCTCGTCAAAATTAATAGAGACCAGATTGGTTAGCATCGCGTCGGATTACGGAAAGGCGATCAAGTCGGTGCACGATATAATTGATGACTATAATCCGTTCGTCACTGTTATTCCCGTAGGTATTACCATCGCAACATTTCGAGTTATCGTAACATCAAACGTCACGCTGATAATTCCCCGTAATCATTTCCAACCGTGCTTTTTTTTTACACGTAATCTCATTGCGTCCGTCACGCCGGGCGCGTAATCTTCTTAACACGAGTGCGGTTAATAATTCGACAGCTTATAGAAGACCGGACAAAACCGGGGCGGGGACGATGGCTCACAACAACGAGGCCGTTAACGTCGATTGCGACTAATGAGTTAGCTTGTTCATAATTATCGGCAGACGCGGCCGCCCGCTCACGCCTGATTACCGCCGTGATACACGGTATTTATCTGCATGCCGATGATTAATTAATGCTAACGGCATTAACGATCGTGTCTTTTCAACAGCTGCGGCACACGTTTGTGTACTATGTGCCTTTTAATACGACGAATTTCAGTATCTCCTCCGTTCGTTTTGAAGGATTTTAAAATATCTATTCGCTCGTTGAACACATTTCGAAGTTTGTGAGATAATGATCGGTGCGAGAATTTAATTAAAACAACCGTTGCCTACATCAATCATATACATATGCTTGTTAATTAATTTAGTAACGTTTTTTAATATATAGAAAAAATACGGCAGATAACACGGTGAAAAGCTTGGAATAATTCTAGATTTTATTTGTATAACGGATATATTTATCTAGCATCTGCTATTGTTTGTCGAAACTACGTGCCTATTCGAGCTTTTAATGAAAAACTGATGTCACACAGAGAAACTCAACAAAATTTCATTTCTCATATCGAATGCAGGTCATCGCGGTGATTCGATTTTTTTTATTTGCCGTTCGAGTATATTTTTTTTTACAACCGGGCACGTTCGACGGTGCTAATTGATGCGAGGGAACTTCGTCGACGCCATGAGTTTAATATTCGAAGACGCGCGCGAACGTCCATATTTTAGCGTGACGTGGAAAAGTGACAAGTTAATTTAGCGACCGGTAAGATGTACAGCTATCGCTGATAACGGCAGACTTTTCCGCAAAACGAACACGCGAATCGATGGAGATGCATCTGACAGCTGCGTTTCTCGGTAGATATTTCGAGCGTTTCTTTCAAAATCGTATCGAATCACCGTGAAGTTGCTGGAATTGCTTTCGGCGAAACTTTGCGTCCGTAAAGAGAAGTCCTACTTATTCTCCGCGCGAGTTACGCAAGCAGACTTTTCTGTCAAACACGAATGGGGACACCGTGAAACTGCGAATGATATTTTAGACTGATATGCGAACTTATGCGAAATCGCTCATCGCTGTAATCTATTTGTACAGCAAATGAATTATCTTTCGAAACTATCTTTCTTCTGCGGAGTAATCGCATCACAATTTTTCTTCGCAACTCACATGCAAATATTTCAATATTTTGTATTAAAATGTTTTTCTTACGCGCAACTGCAACGAAGGGTGTTATTTGAATAAACGTGACGCTTTTCCGCGAGATCTTATCGCGGGCGTTTCTCTCCACTCTTATATACAAAAATTCCGGTCGTCGTTCCGCGGGACGGTTCACGTCTCATAAAAGTCCGCGCGCGGATGCAGGGCGCATCTGTTCCGCTCGTAAAAAGTCACAGAAGTGCTTCCCGATATAAGATCCTCCACGCGACTTTCCTCGCGATTGCCCGCGCAAAACTTTTCCCAAGCTTTTCGATATAAGTTTTTGTCCTTACGAGAGCGAGATTACGAGATCCTGTTTACGGGCGTACGGATGTGGAAACGGGATGTTAGGACATGCTCCGGCAAAATCCGGCATGCCCTCGAAATTTCGTACGTGATCCTATTTCGCTCTCTTCTTCGACGTGCGGTGGGATAGATCGGCGCAATCACGACCGATATACCGATGGGGTGGTTCCGTCGGGTGGGTGCGTCGCGACGCGGACGACGGCGCGGATCGTGCCGTTGCTCGCGGTCCGGAGTTGAAGACCCGACTGATGGAAACGCACGCAGGAACTCCGGCACACTCGAGGGCGCAGGCGCCTCCGCGTCTCTCTGCTATCTTCTTTCGTTACACGGAGGCTGCCTCGTCGCGCCGCGCTGTACCCGCGACGCGCATCTCCGATGTCGCTGGTACCTTTCAAAGTGTCGCTACTCTCTTCGACACCGCGCGATCTTAGGCTGAGCACGCGCCACCTTCTTTTTCCGCTATCTTTGCTGAACTCTCGCGCGAGGGTGCATACGTGCGCTCCGACAACACATATGTCACAAAGATTGTATACATGGTTTACCGAAGCACAGAGTAGCTTCGCGCGTGCTTAAACTCGCGCTACCCGGTGTTGACGAAGTTTCACTTCAGATATTTACGATACTATTATTTTCTTAGCGACAGGGTAACGCTTTATTTATTATCATTGCACTTTTGCGTAATAGAGCAGCGGATTTAGCGAGGATTGTGTATACGGTTTGCCAAAACAGATAATGCCGCGTGCGTTTAAAGTAGCTATTCCGTGCGTTTCAATTTTATTTTGGAGATTTATATTATCCTTCGGCGGAGAGTAACGCTTTATTTATTCATTGAATTTTTGCGAAGCGAATTAGTGAATTTTCTTGCAGATTACTTGGGATTGGCTGAAATTAAATTTCTTCCCTTCTGAGTAAACGCGTCAAACTTCCATCGTACGCATGCAAGTTTTACAGCGTAGAGACTTACTCGTTCGCGTAAAGTAGTGAAAAAAAAGAAGCCACTGTGCGGTCGCTCTTTACGTCCGGGTTTCAGCTGGTCTTCTTTCCTTGGCGGAATTACCGGCACTCCCGAAGATGGGTCTGTAACCTCGCAATTTTATATCGACCCGTCGCTGCCAAACGAGAACTTTTACCCGCGGTCCCGAGCGGCGGGATGGGGGTCTAATTAAACGCAGGAGAGCGCAGAGTGCATCTGTGCATCCGTAAGTTACAACACGTTTTTATTTTCCTTCACTCTAGCGGGAGCGCGCGACGCTGATATCGCGAATGTATTTGTCGCTCTATAGTCTATGCGAATTTATTCTAAGTTTCCCCTCGGACAGCGCGTCGGGAATTATTGCTCGGGGAAGTTCTCTGCAAGGAAAGTTGTCAGGTCCTCGCGTCATTGTTATGTATCATGCGGCAACTTTATATCGTATCTTCCTTCGACTTCCGACGCATCGCGATATACTGTCTCGCCAATGGTCGTGTTACTTCCCTACAGGATGCGCGCACTTTTTGTAGCTTTTATTTCAACGAAATGCGCGCACGTCTTTCACGAACGGAAAATATCTTCTTTGACGTTTCGCATTCGTATCTTACTTCGTCTCAGCGCGTGTTGTCTTTTTGAACGATGTGAAACAAGGACCCGCCAAGTTTTTCCAAATTCAAGATACGCTGGGTTTCTGCCTCGTAGTTACAAAACACTGCCGTGGTTACAAGATTTCGATACTCCCCTTTGAATTTTTCTTCCGCATGCCTATGTATTTCGTACTGCGATATCTGCGTTAATGGCAAAATGATTGGCCTTGAGAATAAAATATCCGCGAAAAAGAACAGAGCAACATAGAGAAGTAGGAGGATTCTGCTCATTAATGTCTCCGTGGGGGAACTGCGTGGACTACAATTTCGTAAATTACTTTACACCGCTGCGCGAGCTTTTGTAGCATAGATAATAACGGAGCAAGGGAAATTTTTGCATTGTAGGAGGGAAAGAAAATATGCCGAGAAATAATTTCGCATATTTGTCTCTCTTTTTCCCTGGGGAAGACTGGACAGAATTATTGTTATATTTAGATAGCTTCATGGAGGTGCGACAGAATGGAAGACTGCTAAATACTTTGACGCGGGCAACGCGTCAAGGCAACAAAATACGATTCAATATTTTATTAACTTTTTGTGAAACAGTAGAAAGAAATCACACATTTTAGACCGTTATAGTATAATAGTGCTACACGAATCTCAGAGAGACTGAAGAACTTTTTTAGATTCCAATCGAGATTATGCGGATGACCGGCTGAAAATCCGTAAAACGAACCGAAGAGTTTACAGAGGACGGATCTAATTTCGCGTGTATTACGATGATAAACGGATCTACCTGAGCGATAGGAAGATGGAGGCTGGCTCGCCGGGACTTTATTCGGTCTGAGCCATCCCACCACCTCTATCGAGTTATCCTTTCGTTAGCTTGGCCTAATCTTCCTTTTTGGTCGCCTCTTCGCTACGCTCTCGATCTCCGCTTCCTACCACAACCCGTTCTCATAACCATGATTTTTGCCACGCTTCTCCAGCTCCTCCTTCTCTCTCTCTCTCTCTCTCTTTCTCTGATCTGGCTCTATAATCGTCGGCATATTCGTTCGTCTCTCGTTGGCCCAATGCAAATTTCGAAAATCCTTCGGCTCTGGCCATAAATCAGGTTAACGTTATTCAGGCTTGCCCGGCGGCTAATCGAAGTCGTGTGCGTTCTATGTACACGTCACATTGAACAGGCGCCGTCATCACAATCTCACGCTGCCTTCTTTTTCGCCCGAGTCCATCGCGATTGCGGTCCTTGCAATTATGATAACGATAATCAGATGGAATGGTCGCCTACGGCGTTTTGACGTTCTCTCGTTGAAATTGTTACTTGTCTCGCCTTTCGATGATTATCTAATATTTCAAAAAAGTGAAAAAACAAAAACACAAAACGGACGTACATTTAAAGAATATGCTTGCTTGCCCCTGAGACATTAGAAAATTATTCATATTTATTTTCTATAACAATACCTTCCCTATATTGCTATTTATTTTTTATTGTATTAAATAATTGCAATTTTATTAGTAAGCATTTCTTGTGAAATTGATAAAATGCGCAGAATGAAAACTTATACTTGATTTAACAAACTTAATTTGGAAAACAATAATGGAAATATTAATCGATTCTATATACTGGCCATTATAATCGCCAAGGCAATACGATTTGGTTCGATTATTGTCAAGACGCTCTTTTAATCAATTTATATTAATTGGTTAAAAGAGCGTTTTGACGATAATCAAGGCCATCGAACCAAATCGTGGTCGTATTGTCTTGGCGATTATAATGGCCAGTAGAGTCGATTAATATTTCTATTGTTGTTTATTTTTTGACTGGCAAAGTAAAAGTGATTTATTCTGTTAATTTGGAAATATTTGCTCGTCAGACTCAATTGTAACGAAAAGCGTACCCTTTCGCTCATCACTTTAATATCGTAACAGACATTTACTGCTAGATTTACAATGCAGGAATTGTCTTATAATTTCTATCCTCTTTTCTTTCTTGTAATTCGATTCAATGTAACGTCAGCCGACAAACGTGATATTTCGACGCACAAAGTCAAAACCGGCCTCGATCCAGAATAACCGTGGCGACACTCGATTATTGGGAAGAAATAGCGTGAGAAGTATAGATAAAGGACGGGGAAAATATAATACAACCGGCAAAGAAATTCCGCCTGGTACGAGGTATCTCTAGCTGGCTTTCGATCGACGCTGCGTTTCGTGTGAGACTATATATACAGAGCGGTGGGCGTTATCGGATCGAATTCAATTTTGGCGTAGAGAATAAAAGCGACGACGAATGTACGAATATTGGGTCATGGTAAGCGAGGAGCTTGCATGCAAAGGGACACGTGTGATAAATTCTGCAACAGCAATCGGTATTACGGAATTTGACTTCTTTCATCAAAGAGTCGTTTTGAATTGCTATTTATTTTTTGCCGATGTTGAATTGCTATTTATTCACTTTGGATAAAGAGCTTACGAGACCGATCATAATTTTATTTGGAAATCCTAATAAATTATAAGAAAGTAATCGAAATATTGAATCTATATAAGTACTTAACGGGTATTAATTGAGATGCTCGGTGTGGTACCTGTGAATGCAGAAAAATGAACTGGCTTTCTGGCTTCAAAGCTTCTTACATCAAAATCTATGAGTAGAATAAAGCTGTCTTCTTTCTTTTGTCGATAAATCTTCTTTGTCTTTAAAAAGTAATTCATCAAAACGTATCGCATTATTTAAACATCATAAATTTTATTAACCTGGTTAGGCATTTAAAAAAGTTACATAAAGTTCATTTATCTTTTAAAATCTCTCTTTTGACAAATGTCGCGTCTTGGTTTTTCATGCAGTTATAGCAAGCAAAAATTATAATATGTATTAATAATTATAGCAAGTAAATAATACTTTCCAACGTACGATTAAGATATAAGGTAGGTACCATTATAAGCTGTCGTCCATTATGCTGGAATAACTGCTCGCGATAGCAGGCGACACTCGATTATTGGGAGAAATAGCGTGAGAAATATGAATAAAGCCGGGCATATATTGCACCACCTGTATGGTATTGTGCAGCGATTCGCATGGTACTACCGGCGTATCTTCGAGTATTCGATTGTAATTAGAATTTATTGCGATAGACCGGGAGGCACCAATACACAAAAGACGCTTTGCATCGATCGCCAGTTGGGGCACGAAATCGTGCAATTTATCGTAAAAAGCGTAAACGTATTAGCGAATTTATTCGATTCGATGGTGAATTTTCTGTCTCTTTGATCACGCTATCGATGGACCGTAACAATTTGTAACGACAGAATCTGCTATTTTTTTATTTTTACATCGATCAACGATATTGAAAATTATTCAATTTTCGCGTGGAACCCCGCGTATTTTTACGCACGTATACATGCACGGGAATG